CTAATGAGAAGGAGCTGTTGAAGGCTTCCATAAGCCTATGGATTCAGCTATATATAAAGGGTTAACGAGTTCTTACCTGCTGCATAGGTTAGAAGGAATTCAGTTGGCCACGGAGACTGTAACCACTCTCCTGGTGCATTATACGACCCCATTCACGAGCTCAGTTTCTAAAACTTACATTAAACCATTTTCTTTTGCTGTGTTAATTCTCTGTATAGCTTTCTGTAATCTTGTCCGTGGGGGTTTAGCACCTTTTTACTTTCTGGCTAAATTTATTTATGGTCAGTTTGAGCCCCTTGCGTGGGGGTTTAGCACCTTTTTACTTTCTGTCTAAATTTATTTATGGTCAGTTTGAGCACCTTTGGTTTTATGCAAGTGTTGTCCTTTAGCTTACTGTCTTTTCCTTCTTGTAGTATTTTTAAACAGCAGCATGTACCCTCCTTACAGCCCTTGTTTTGTTAGATGAAACAAACCATGCTTTCTTAATCTTCCCTGGCAGCCCTTCTTTGCATCTGTTTTAGTCTGAGTATCTTTTTCTCTAATACTGTAATACTCTAAAACTGTAATTATATTCAACTGCTGCTGCCTGCATCTTGTGAAATAGAATCAGTATCTTCATAGCACTGCTGGAACCGATACTGATGAGAAATATCCTAAAAACAGTGATCACACTTCAACATTTAGAAGTTTTATTTTCTTTCCTTTGATAATGAAGCCTCCTTCAACTAAGATCTCCTTCTGCTAGTTCTCTAATTAGAAACTAAGAGATGACCTAGGGGGTTTTTCTGACTTGGCATAAAGGGAGGTTATTTTATGTCCATACCTTTTCATTTCCTCGTCTGGACTCTTTCATCCTGCCTTTCAAATTCAGAGCAAGGACATTATGCCAATTTCGCAAAGATTTGACATGATCAGTTTCTAAACTAGAGCATGAACTTGCTGATTTTCTTTCCAGGATGCAAACCTGGCACATGTCAAATGGGAACACTCATCTGGGCAGACAAACCTGTCTTCTCTGATATCATGAGTAACCTGGAATGCTTATCTACTATCTTCTTGTGATTTCTTATTCTAGATTCAAAATTCACATTGATATCTTTTTTTTCAGGTTCACATTTTCCTGGCCAAGGAATTCTCTGGTACATTGATACACATACTTATTTTTATAGCTGTGACTGCTGACTCAATTTCAGTTGTTTACTGGATAACTCCACAGCATTCTCAAGAGTAGTTCTTCAAAGCAGGATTCCTTTAACGTGATGTTATGCATTAGATTATTCCTTCTCCCATTGCTGATTTTACATTTTTATTCTTCAGAGGCACTTCTTTCATTCTAGCCTATTCTCAAATCCATGCTGCACTGAAATCCCATTGTTCAAAATACTCATGATCCCTCGTAGCTTCACCTGTGAAGAGAATTATCACGTTCCTCAACCCATCCAAATGATTAAAGTATGCTCGTAGCTTCACCTGTGAAGAGAATTATCATGTTCTTCAACCCATCCAAATGATTAGTTAAAGTATGGTAGTATATGACCCAGCACTAATCCCTCTGCTCCGTATCAATAAACCCCCTTAATTTAAAATTCTTTTTCCTTATTTAGCCAGACTTGATTCCTCTACAGTTCTTATTCCATTTTCTTCTACTAAAGTACCATGTGGGTTTCCACATCTAATGCCTAAATAAACCCTGAAAATAGTTTTACTTCATATACAATACAGTAACATTTCCATGTTAGGATTCTTTGCGAACTGCCAATATATTTTTTTGAAGTAAGTAAAAACTAATTACAGCTAGAGTGATAAAACTGTTGCATCTGCACGTTTTAAAGTGTTTTAGAGGGGAGAGCAAACTTCTAATTAGTGCCTGATAGCGCAGCACTTGCAACACAAGGATCAAAGACTGCCATTTGAAAGGATTTAATACATTCATCTTGTGAATTTATACACAGTGGCCTAAAACAGTCTGAATTAATTACTCTATAGCTCAACTCAATTCCATGTGTACTTTTAAAAGCCACACCTAAGAAAAACTATTGTTACAATAAAGAAGAGGAGAATTGGTGAATGAAGATAAGATAGTAGCTTCCAGCAAAAACAGTGTCATCATAAATCCAGGTCTTGCCCTAACTGAAATATTTTCTCCTCAAGAAAGCAAAATGTAAAAAATTAGCAATACATTTAAACTGAATCAGAATATTTTAATTGAATGATCCAATTTAAATACAGCCTCCTCTTCTTGCTCTTTATATGTAGCCTTCACCTCACCGGTTTAGGAACTATGGGGTTTTTTACCCTCTGCAGTCACAAGACCGAACTGGTGTTTCATGAGAGATTTACCTAGTGTTGTTGCTATCACTTATCTTTACATGCATGTGCTCTATCTCAAATGTTAATATTTATGTAACTCAGAAGCAGACTTCCTTTAGTGCACACTAGAGATTAAAATCAAGCTTTAGAGGTCTGACATGAAGCCCATGCAGTTCTCATGTCCTAGTTTTTGGGCTGAAGCCCCACACACTGGGATTTTGCAGAGAGAAAGCAACCAGCTGCAAGTACAGTTTTCCAAGTACCCTTTTGAAGGCAAAACAGACCTTGAGTAAATGCATTTATGTATACCCACTTGGAAAGGCCACCTCAAATAACATAGAGACAATGCAGATGTCTTTGCCAGTATCCTAGAAATTTCTTAAATATGAAATCTCTACAGTCAGCCAAATAGCTGCACTCATCAGCCTAGAATATGTTTAATGTAGTCTTCTGGAAGGCAGATTAGAAAAGCCAAGCCTCTCTACAAAACTATTGTTTTTTCAACAGAGCTGTAGTGGAAGCTTTGGAGGCAGCTCGTAAAGAACTAAAAATAACTTGGTATTTAAATAAAACTAATCTGAGATAGTCTGTACTCATTCAAAAGACAGATAGCTTTCCTGGTATACATTCTCTAATCAACTCCTAGTATAATGTTAAGTTTACCCATGAGAAGAGTAGAGAGTATTTGGAGAACTTCTCAATGAAGAAAAATTCTTGCACTAAGGCAAATAGAAATTACATCCCCCCTGCAAAGCCCATCTCAGTATATGCACTTACCTCACTGGCTGAACATTAGTAACTCAGGTTTTATTTGTATAAAGATTAAATGGAAATGTTATCATGTTGTTTACTACACTTAAATGCTTATCCCAAAAAGCTATGATTAGAAACTTATGAATTCAGAATAAGGCTTTGATAGCCTTATGGATGATGCCATGACTTTGCTCTTTCCCAAGGGAAGAAGTGTATCATGTATGTTGCTACGTGAGACTATCCTATATTGTCTTTTTTGATTTAAGATGCTGGCAACACAGCTTAACTCTATACAAGGTGCCTTGATCAGAATAACATTGACATTTCTTTTTTATATGCTTTAACTATCGCACACCAGTGGAAAAGGCTTGATCTCATTATTCTTTTACTCAGTTCTTAGTAACTAGAATGAAGAGGGAAAGTTGTATAAAGTACAGTTGCACGAAGATCATAAAAAACTTTCTATTGTAGTATTTTAATTGCCCTATTCAAGGAACTACTTGTGGTGTTTATTGTTAAAAAAAAAGGGGGGGGGAAGATGAACAACATACATTTTTTCACTTCTTATCTTTAAATTGCTGTAGCTTTTTAACTTTTCTTTCTGTTTCTCCTGTTTTCCCTTCCTCACATACTGTACGACAAAGGCTTCTTTAGTCCTTACGCACCTAGAATTTATTTACATTGGGAACAATTTTTAAAATGTGAAGGCTACAGCTTACGTACTAATGACACTTACTAACTTCATTGGCAAGAACAAGCCAGAGAACTGAGGGAGCACCAGAGAAATATGGGTATCTGAGTAAAATTACACAGGTAAAAATGAAAAATGTCAGATTATAAAAAAACAGCCCAAATCAAATGTTTTCTTGCACAGTCGCAGAGTACTATGTGGCAACTCCTAATAACATTTTCAGTGATTTAAGACAAGTACAGAAGGTGACTATCAATGTAAATGTTATTGTTAGTAGATAAATGCAATGGCAGGTGATTAGTCCTGATCGGCAAAGTAACAAATGCACTATTTTTCAGTGAAACTGGCCATTTTATCTACTGCATAAAACATACTTTTATCTAGTAAATATTTTCACATACTGTAGCTGTCTACTAAAGAGGCAAAAACTCACCCAAAAACCTGTCAAAAAATCTTATTAATGGGTACATGCCAAACCTGTGACAGCAGCCGCATCTTAACTCCAATTTCACTGCAGTCATACTGTTTTTAAGAACTTAAGCGTACCTTCCTGTTGTTGAAAATTTTTCATTGGTGTACTGTATCATCAGAGCTTACCACACCACCCTTCTTGACATAAGTGGAAAGTTGCAAAGGAACAAGTAGTACAATTGTATTAAGCTCTAAATGTAACTTCACAACTCTAAGGTAATTTCAAGAGGATGCACATATGAAAGCTAAAAGACAAAAGGAAATGCATAATTTCTTATTTCATGTATTAACTGCTAGTTTTTTCTTGACTAGACATCTGAAGATTGGCATCCAAACTGAGGCTTCTAGAGTAAGCTTCTAATTCACTTAACAAGTGAACTATTTCAAGATTTTATTTTCTTTATCCTGTGATAGGAATAGCTGCTCAAGTGAAGTTTTGGGGCTTGGGATTGTTTTCAAATAATGAATGAACCAATCTGAAGTTATCCCAATAAAAACAATAAGCAGGAAGGCCTAAAAACATCAGTTAACTTTGATAATTTAATATGCCATTTATAGTCATCCAAACATCTTACTCAATACTGTTATGTACAAAACCCACCAAAAATAAAAAAAGAATTTAAATGTTATCTTCCAAATGTAAAAGTGCAATTAACACAGGCAAAGTTTTTGTAAGAACATTACACTTCTATTAAATTCAGGGGCTATATAGGTATATTGGCTGAACTAAAGTGAAAGAGGATTTTGGCTTTTGTTAATTTTGAATACGCCTGGGAGTTGATAAATAGTTCTACTGCCACCATAATTATGGTACATACATCCAAAAATGCATAGCACAATTGTTTTCATAATTTTCAGTTTCACCAACTTTAACAAACTTAAGTAGAGCAACAGTAAGATCTGTAAAGTTCAAAAAATAATTAACACTATAAAACCTTTATCAAGTAAGTGTGCACCAAACAGCCATCCTGAATTGCTTTCTCCAGAATTCTGATAGCTTTCCAAAGATGTAATTTACCCCCAATAAACATTACACCTTTACAGTACTGAATGGATTTTCTGGAACAAGATTTACATTTATGATCTTTCATGCATCACATATTCACAACTTGGAAAGAAATGGAAGGCCTTCATACATGTCAGCCTTTAATTTCATCCAGTCCTGAAATCTCTGCAAAGCTGTTTTTTCTTCTTGTAATATTTTTGCAGCTTTTCTCAGTTTTAATTCATTTCGTTCTAAATAACGAATTCCATCTGTCTGCAGCTGATTGAGTTTCTCTTTACGACTTTCATCCAGAGGTATGTCTTCATTCATAAGAGGGTTAAATCTGAAGTAAGTATCTGGAGGCAACAGTGCATCCAGCATGGCGTGAACTTCTGTATTGACAACAAATGAAATAAACAGTTACATTTACACCAGACAAACAGTCCTCCAGTCTCTGAACAACAAGTGCTCTGGAATGACACACTAAGTGTAAATATGTGCTGTTTTGCTGAGTAAATGTTTTTCCACCATTGCCTTATCAAAAACCCTTTTTCATGAGAAGGTTTGCAGATGACCCTGTAGCTCTGTTTACTCTAGAAAAGTTTCATCATTTATTCTAAGACACCATCACTGGTGTGACAAGTAAGAAGGCAGTTATCCAGATTTTTACTTACACATACATCCCGTTCCTTTACAAATGACAGTGCATTACGAAAAGTGGGAATGTAACTTGCGTACTCTCATTCAGCACACCCATGACTTTTTACACTCAGTACTAATGGAAGTAGGTATTATGAAACTGATAGCTATATATTTTTCTCTAATGTAAAGTAAAAAAATATGTAATTTTAAAGCTTTCTTTTGTTGGCAACTATTTTTGTATATATTACTACAGATTTTGGCATTGAATTTAACCTTCATTTCATTTAAAATGTTCATGTTAAATTACAATAGTTCAGTTAACTAATACAATAATAAACTGACTATATAATGGATTTGTATGTTCCTCTCTTCTCTTCCTTTTTTCCTCTCTTCTATAACCTATTTTCTCTCTCCTTTTAGACCTCTTTTCTATTCACTGGCTCCCTTAAAAGTCCATTACTTCTTTTATCTTTCATTCTCTTTTATTTCCATCTTCTTTGCATTCTTAACACACTTCTCCATTCTTTTACACTTGTATAAAAATCGTAAAGTGAAAAAAACCAACAAGGGTAAGACTACAGCAAAAGATTCTTGTTGACCTTCTCTGCTTGGTCCCTTCTCTAAATTACTCAGATGTGTCTCTGTTCTTGTCTCACCACATCCAGTCTTTCTTGCCCTATTTAATACTCTCCTCCTTTTCCTTAATAATGTAACTTGCCATTTGCTCAAATCTACTCTCCCCTCTTTTCATTTCCTCTTCTTTGACCTCCACAATAAACTTTCCTTTCCTCCTTTTCCCCAATTAAATTTCTTCCCTGATTTTTCTGCTGCAATGAAACTTTTTCTTCCCTTGATAGACAGTGGACAGAATGCCTCTCCTTCACCCAACTCCCATTGCCTTTCCACAATTGTGCAAAAAACAAAGGCAGCCCAAAATTTTCTTTTTCTTACTAATGATAGCTGACAGAGATTATGCAGGAAGGGATCCAGACTGTAAGAGTATTTTCTTGATCCCTAGCTTTTTAGAGTATCTGTTCCCTTTGTAAGAGGAATAAAAAAAGCATCTGCATATCAATATTCCCTCAGCTTATAAAACACAACAGATATAAACTGCTAGTGATGGAGTTCCAGTGTACTCCCATCCTAGGAACAGAGTTTATTTTGGAAAACACATGCTTGGCTCCTCCTGACAGCAATGGAAGTCATGATCATTGGCAGATAGAGTCTAGTCCTTGGAAAAGCACATGTGAAAAACATATAGAAAAGAAGTGAACTAAAATACTTTTTCTGAAGCTGTTGAAACCCAACCAATGTTCTATATTAACTATTAAGCATTTCTGTTTGGGGGAAAAACAACCCAAATACAAGAAAATATGATTTTTCTATTGAAATTATTGCCTGTGCATGCCTTTATTCTGAAGCACATGTAAAAACATATTGCTTTATATCCATTCTGTTGGATTATCACTGTCATTCTGATTTTTATGGTATTTATTATCTCTAGTATACCTATGTCATCAAACATATTAACAGTTGAGACCTCATAAACTAAAAGAGCTTATCAAAACACAGTGAAGGTAAGTTACAGAGCAACATGTTTCAAGTAGTTTCAGTGGGTTGGCTAGAGAGGAAAAGGGGAAAGACAAAAGGTTGCAGATTGCTCTCTGAATTGAACCTACAATTCTAAGGAACATAAAACACTGAAAACAGTCACAATACAAACGTCTCTTAAGACACTAACCTTCTGTATCAGTTGCACTGCTGATAACATTTGTGAGCTTGGCTTTCAAACTGGTGTATGTGACGTTTGCCTTTCCCTCACTTTCGTATCGACCTGTGCCCAGCGATATTAGACACTGCAAGGGAACATTTGGCCAAAGACACTTGCACTCATGAACTGCCAGTGCAGAAGGGTTATTTAGAAGCAGACCTCCATCCTGTAAATTAAAAATAAATACAAACAATAGTACTATACATAATGTAAGCAACAGTAAATATAAACTAGCATAACACTAATATACAAAATCAATTAAATAAAACAAACATTAATTTCCTTCTCCTGTCCAACTGTTATGTTTGTGCCCTGTAGCAGCTGCCTAGCAAGGCTTCCTGGGCTAATGGACACTGTCAGAGCAGCTCCTGGGTCAGTTGTGCTGTTGTGAGTATTGCACAGAAGAGGTAGGCTGAAACAGCAGTACTCACTGGAATATCTGAAGTTATGATTTTGTCTTCTGAAGACCTTTTAGGTAAAACAGATATGCATATTGACAACTTTTTAAACAATCAGTAACTCTGCATCCTAAAATGTTTATATATTCTGTAGCACAATCCAAATCACTACCTGCAGATTCTAAAAAAAAAAAAAAAAAAAAAAAAAAAAAAAAACCTTTGTCAAAACAAAAAAACATCCCCACGAGCTATAAAAAAAAAAAAAAAAAAAAAAAAAAAAAAAAAATCGCAAATCGCAAAAGCCAAGCTTGGCCAAAGCTACTTTACAAACACAGTCATTACATAGGGTGCTATAGCCTGGATTTAAGACTTGGAAAAAAATCACAGAATCATTTAGATTGGAAGGGAGACCTACTGAGCTTTTCTGGTCCAACCCCCCCGCTCAAAGAGGGTCACCTAGAGCACACTGCTCAAGGCCCATGTCCAGTCAGGTTTTACTTAACTCCATGAATGGAGACTCCAAAACCTCTCTGGGCAACCTGTTCCAGTGTTTGACCCCTCTCACAGTGAAAAATTTTCTTGTATTCAGATGGAATTTCATATGTTTTAACTGGTGCCATTGTTTTTTGTCCTGCCAGCGGGCACTGATGGGAAGAGTACTACTCCCTCATCTTCATTCCCTCCCATCCCTTATTTGTACACATTGGTTAAGATCTCCCCTGAGCCTTCTCTTCATTAGGCTGAACAGTCCCAGCTCTCTCAGTTTCTCCTCATATGAGAGATGCTTCAGTCCTTTAATCATCTTTGTGGCCCTATGCTGGACTCACTCCAGCATGCTCCCATCTCTCTTGTTCTGGGGAACTGGATGCAGTAATCCAGATGTGGGCTCAGAAGTGCAGAGAGGAAGAATCACCTCCCTTGACCTGCTGGCAACTGTTTTCAATGCAGCCCAGGATGCTGTTGGCCTTTTTTGCCACAAGGGTGCATTGCTGGTTCAACGTTCAGCTTGTCCACCAGGACCCCAAGGTCCTTCTCTGCCAAACTGCTTTACAAGCAGGCAGTTCCCAGTGTGGACTCGTGTGTGGGGTTATTCCACCCTAGATGCAGGACTATGCCTTTCCCTTTGTTGAACTTCATGAGAATTCTCCAGCCTGTTGAGCTCCCTCTGAGCAGTGGCCCAACCATCTGATGTACCAGCCATTCCTCCCAAATGCAAACTTCCTGCAGGTGCACTGTCCCATCATCCAGGTCATGTTAAACAGTATTGGCCCAGTGCTGACCACTGGGGTACATCTCTAGTGACTTGCTTCCAACTGGACTTTGTTATACTGACCCCAACCCTCTGGGCCCGGTCATTCAGCTAGTCTGCAATCCATGTCACTGTCTACTTATCTAACGCACACTTTGTCACTATGATGTTACGGAAGATATGTGTCAAAGGCTTTACTAAAGTTGAGGTAAACGATATCCACTGCTTTCCACTTGTCTACCAAGCTAGTAATCTCACTGCAGAAGGCTACCACATTGGTCAGTCATGATTTCCCCTTTGTAAATCCATGCTGACTACTCATGATCACCTTCCTGTCCTTCATGACTTTGGAAATCCTTTCCAGAAGGATTTCCTCCATCACCTCCCAAGGGGCTGGGCTGAGGCCAACTAGCCTGCAGTTCCCCAGAGCTGCCTTCTTGCCCTTCCTGAAGATAGGAATGAGACTCTCCCAATCTCTCCTAATCACCACCGTCATTTAAAGATAATCAAGAGTCGCCCCACAATGGCATCAGCCAGCTTCATCAGCACTCATACGTGCAACCCATCTGGCCCTATGAATTTATGTATGTCCAGTTTGTTTAACTGCTCCCTAACCTGGTTCTCCTCCTTGTAAGTCCTCTTTGCACCAAACTTTCCCTGTAGCTTCAGGGGCCTGAGACTCCTGAATGCTGTTTTTACTGGTAAAGACTGAGACAAAGGCAGAATTAAGTATGCTGGCATTTTCCATGTCATTTGTCACCAGCTTCCCTGCCCCATTCAATAGCAGGCCCACTTTTTCCCTAGTCTTCCATTTGCTGTTTATGTACATGTAGAATCCTTTGTTGCTGCCCTCCACATCCCTCTCCAGATTCAACTCCAGGCTGGCTTTTGCTTTCCTAACCCCATCTCTGCAAGATTGTAAAGGAACTCTATACTCCTCTTGGGTCACCTGCCTCTGCTTCCACCTTTTGTACACTTCCTTTCTATGCCTGAGTTCAGTTAGGATCTCCTTGCTCATCCATGCCTGCCACCTTTGCTTGATTTCCTGCTTGTTGGGTGGTCCTTTCTTGAGCTTGGAGGAAGTGATCACTGAGTATCAGCCAGCTCTCCTGGACCCCTCCTCTCTTCAACACCATAGCTTATGGGATTCTTCCAAGCAGAGCTCTGAAGAGGATGAAGTCTGCTCTTCTGAAATCCAGGGCTGTAGTCCTGTTTTTTTTTCCCTGCTCTCTTCCCTTAGGACCTTGAACTCCATCATCTCATGGTCACTTGTAGCCAAGGCTTTAACTTTCATGTCCCTGACCAGTTCTTTATTCTTCATAAGCATCAGGTCCAGCAAAGCACCTTTCTGTGTTGGCTCCCCCATGAACTGTGCCAGGAAGTTGTCATCTATGTACTTGAGCAATCTCTTAGGTTGCTCAGGATCTTCTGTATTGGGCTTTCATTAGGTATCAGGATGATTCAGGTTCCTCCTGAGGACCAGGTCCTGGGAACATGTGGCTTCTTCAAGTTGTCTGAAGATCAGAATTCAGTCCAAGACTAATAGGAACAAAGGCTACTCTTGTAAGTCTGGAATTGAGGAGAGACACCTTTTACTTGCAACATGTCAAAAGCATATGTGATTAGGGTGCGATAAAATACTTTAGGACTAATAATAATTAGTATGACTGACAATAAGGCTGAGAAGGATTCAGACAAGGAGGTTTTGATCCTGCAAATCCTAAAAACTGTGTTCAGTACTTCTTGGAAGAAAATGATCTTCACTCCAACTAAGAAATAGATTACTTTGGGCTTTGAATTCAAAGGATTTTCTATATTGGGAATGCCTTAAAAAAAGTAGTCACAAAGGCGAAACATAACCTGAAAACATCATCAATAGTAGAGATGAAGATTGTTATAACCATTCAAAATCTATACAAAGAAAACATGTAAAATATAAAAGAAACAGGATATTAACCACAATAAGCATTATGCTAAAGCTCCCTATATCCTAAACCTCCCCACACTCCCTATGTCTGTAAAAGCAACTCTACTCAGGAATAGCTTAGAAGAAAAAAATGTTTTGGAGTTGATAAAACATTTTACAGAAATTCCTTTTAACTACAGCTGTGCTAGATAAATAAGTAAAAACAGGATTACGGAGCTGGTTTTTTTTTTTTTTTTTTAAATTAAACTTTCATTTCAAGCTACAAAAAGCTCTTTGAACTCCTTCTGGATACTGTGTGCTTTGCTCAAAACACTGCTAAAATGAATGGTCTCCTCAGTGCCTATTATCCTTTGCTTATGTTTAAATGAGCCTCTACACACAAAACTAAATACAAGGATGTTTTTATCCTTGATATAATTCCCCATGAATCCTAATCTAAATCTTAATAGTTTTCTTTGTGGTGCTTAGTTTTTCTTTAAATCCTAGACTGAAAACATGCTTACCAAATAATTTCCACTGATCTTGTAAATATAATTTAATTAAACATGATTGCTTCATGACGGGGAAATTAGTATTATCAAAAGTTCGGGGGTATATAACACTAAAACACTGGAATATTTTTGTAATATTGACAAGTAAAAGATCAAAGGAAGGTAAAGTACACATACCTACACATACCAAATGTGTATTGTGATGATAATCAACAGCTTTATGCAATGATTTCCACATTTAAAACATTCTCCAATTTAGGTTTATTGAAATGACAGTAAACATCCATTCCTAATAATTTTCAGTTTAGACACTGCTATCATAACTTCTAGCTTTTATATAGACACATCATTTTTGGAAAGTTAGAAGTAGGACTGAATAAAGGCAACTGATTTTTTTCTTCCCCTCCAAATACATTATGGTCAATAATGACCACATTCCAATCAATATTGTGCTTCAAATCAGCTTACTCTGTTTTAAACGAAGATGTTCATCATATTGCTATTTGCTTATAATGATCAACTACTCAAGCAGTAAATAACTTTATTAGTTAAATTGGACTATTAAGGACTCAGTTAAGGAAATACTGCAATAATTTTATTTAATTCTGCAGCTTCAGAAACCTTAGAGCTAATTATGTCAAAGGCTGAAAATCTTGGGGGAAAAATATCTCACAAGGTTTAAAATTAGCTGCAATTTTTCATATGTATGTGAATTCTAAAGAAAACTGTAAACAACAAAGAATTTTCCAGTTCTAAGACTAAAAAAATTGAAACTAACCTGATGCTAATTCCTCTGTTTTCATAAAACTGGACAAAAAATCCTTCCCAATAAATATATTAAACTATCAATACAGAAATATGAAAGCCAGATCTAATTTATTTTTTTTTTAAAGTACTTTTAAGAAATCATGACCTATCCTCTTCATGCTTGAGACACTGAAGTACAATTCTAGGTGACTGAATTTGCAGTTTTGTATGTAAGATGTACTGAGATCACAAGAATCTTTACTAATCCTTGCTCTGAATTCCTATGTATTTAATCTGTCAATTTATTTTGGAGAACTGCTAAATTTGTTATCTTAATTTTTTTCTTATTCTATTAAAGTTATTCAAAATTTATATAATATTATAAAAACCAAATCTAAATTATTTATAAGTTACAGATTAAAATATTTCTAGTGCAAGCACTCAGCTTTTGAAAGATATTTATAAAAATACATTAACCAAAATACAATATAACCAAAAGACTGAATGTTTAATAGTAGTATGGAATGTCTGGGTGACTAACAAAATAGCTTCCTCTTCCATATTATCTGCTATAAGCTTTATTGACACTTTAAAATTTCATGCAGTTAAACAGCTGGAAGTAAACACAGCCAATTTATCTGATCTATGGGTAGAGAGATACCTGTTAGCCAAAACCTGAATTCTACTTTGTCTCTATTTTCATAAAATGAATTACTTCCTTCTGAGTCCATTCAATTTCAATGTTCTGTATTTTTGGTATAACCTTTTGTCTTTGATCCACCTTTCTCTCAATCTTAGATTTAAATTTTTCAGTGTGTATGATGGTAGAATTAGGATTTTCTCAGAATGCTTCTGCAGGAGGGAAGAATGGCAAACCAAGAATAGCAATCCAAAAGCAAAAAGTTTAACCCAAACAATTAAATTTATTGATTCAGGCCATGGACTGAAAGACATTCATGCCTGGGGAACAAACAAAAGCAAATAGCAGAATACTTTTTAGAAATACAGCAAAGTGTTGTGGTGTGCTATGGGGAAAAATATGACAGTGGCTGAAAAGATTAGGGAAACTAGGTATATTAGTGACAAGATGCACTGCATACGCTATGGAAAGACTGGGGAAGTTCCATTTGTCTGACTTTCCATGAATAAAACTCTATTTACACGATTAATGCATTTCAGAATGACTGTAAGTATAGTGATCAGGAAATACCAACATCAGCAAGATGTGCAAAATACATTGACAGAATGCAGCCCTCAAAGTGTATGAATATTGCATTCATTGCACCTATTATTTTATGGAATATATTTTCAGAACATAATTTATAATTGTAGAGCATACCATACTAGCATAATTCTAATCTCCTAAAGCCTTCATATAAACAAAATAATGCAAACAAGAAAGGCTCTTTATACCACATACAATGCTGTAAAAATCTTGTTGATATAAAGTGATATTTAAAATTATAAGGTTCAGATGCAACTTCAACTCTACAAACCAATGCTGACTTTATGCATGGTCCTAAACTTTTTCAGTCCTAATAAATTTATCAGTTCCTTCTTGACAGACTGGAATGTCTCAAAATACTTTGCCCCCCAGTTTCATCTGTATCATTAGATATATTGCTATGGTATGGTACTATCTGTGTGCATGCAAGAAAAGAGACTATATGAACAGTATATTAGATAAACAACTAGATTATCAACATACACTTGGGCTAAAAGCATAACCAGTAGGTCAAGTGAAGTGATTATACCCTTTTATTCAGCACTCATGAGGTCAAACTGGGAATACTGTGTACTGCTTTGGACACCCAGTTACAAGGCACTGAAAAGCTGGAATACATGAAGAACCACTAAGGTGTTTTGGGGACTGAAGCACATGACGTATTAGAAGAGATGCAGGTTTTGCTTAACCTAGAAAGAGAGAAAGCCAAGGAGTAATCTAATCACAGTCTTCCACAACCTAAAGGGGAAGAAGACACAGCCAGACTCTTTCAAAAAGTATAGAATAAGAATCAGAGAAGCTGTGGAATCTCCATCCTTGGATATTTTCAAAACTCAACTGGGCATGGCCTTGAGCAACCTGACCTAACTTTAAGGTTTATCCTGCTTTGAACAGGAGGCTGGACCAGGTGACCTCCAGAGGCCCTGTCCTCCTGTTTTCCTAAGATTCTACTCTATTTAAAGAAACACTATATGAATCATAGATGCACATTATTTTAGCTGTAAAATGAAATTACATTTTGAAAGCCATTCGTATTGGAAACTGAACTTTGTCAGTCCAGTCAGAAGTCTTCTGGAAAATGCAAACATGTGCAACTCATACCTTGA